TCTAACTGCTGAGTGGTAAGGCCATGTTTAAGTGGATTACGAGATACTCACTCAATGGGATCTTTTGCAACCAAAATATTTACAAAGAAAGCGCAAGTTAGCTTAAAAAAAAAAGCCTGTTACAAGTTAAGTGAAAAGGGGAGATACAAACCTAAATATCGCTTTATCATACTATTTCAAAAGAAAAACACAAGCTTATACAGAATATCCCAAACTACTGGAAATACGTATTGTTAATAGCTGTCAGTGAGTCATATGCTAAGTCCATTTTCTTTTTAACGTTCTGTAATTTCCAAGTTTTGTATAACGAGTATATCCCTTAATCACAGGAAAATACAACCACTCCTCATTTTTAAGCTCCTCTGATAAATGCTGCTGTGACCAGTTCCTGTAGGCTTGTTTTTACTCCACACTGTGCCGGGCCTACTTCAGGGACAAGGAGGAGACCAAGGGGAGGGCGCAGGTCTCCACCTCCACTTTGGCAAGGACTGTTCTCATTTTATCTTTTTCTAAACCAGGATGCTTCAGATTTCTTGGGGGAAAAAAAAGGCATTCTAAGTGCTAAAAAATTTTACAGTTTGGAAACCACCATTTTAGGCTATAGAAGAATCAGAAGAAATTTAGGAGCAAAATATTGGTATTTGCTGAACAGGGTTATGGGAATTAGGGGGCTCTTTGTATCAGTTTCTATTTTTGTGTGTTTGATATTTTCATAGTAAAGTTTTAAAATTGAGATATCTGCATTTCCAAATGAAAATACATCCTCTTACGTGCGTAATTCAGATCTATGTTAGATTAAAAATATACACTAGTTCTTTAGAGCAAGTATGATATAGTTTAGCTAAAAAATAATCCTTGATAAGCTTCAACTCACAGAATGAAGAAAAAATTCTAAAACTAAGAAACAAATTGGTTCAAATTCTTATTTTATCCGACTAGAATGGTGGAAAAAAAACTTCCCCAAGATCACAAAGCTAGTAAAGTTACAAAAGAATGTCAAGATGACAGGCTTTCTATAATCATAAGATCCCAGTACTAAGAGGGGAAGGGGAAGTCCTGATGGAGGCTACCTAGGCCAAGGGTGGCCCTAGGGTGCTTACAACACGCCTCTTCTCTTACTGACATCCCTGAAAGCTATTATGAGAAGGACTTCTCTCAAAGGACAGACATACATTGTCGCCATGGCAATGTCTCTCTCGGAAAGGTTCAGTTTAGTGGACTTCGGTGCAGCTGGTAATTCGATCTCAAACTTGGGCAGCTTCGACATAGTGCCAGCCTGTTTGGGGGAGAAAAAAGTCTTAGGAAAAGCTTATTAAACCTCTTTGATGTTTTAGCACTGCCTATGTCAGGTCATTGAGGCTATACACACATGCAATGTCTTTCCATCCTTTCCAGGGTCCGGGGTGCCTGTCCCCAGAATGACTCCCTCTTGGTGGGGATGGGATGGTACGGGGTGCCCTCTAGTGGCCAGAAGTGGTGAGGCTCTTGTTGGAGGACCCTTCCCCTTGGAAGATATTGCACCAGTGAGGATGTCAGAGGAACAAGGCAGGAGGGGGAAAACGGGCATCTTTTTTTGTTTTTAAAGCAAGGCTGACTCTGACCCGGAAATAGAAGGGCTGCAGCACATTCCCGAGCACCGTGGTAGACAGCAGGACGACGGCGCTCTCAGGACAGTACAGGTACCAGTTCACGTTGATGTTCTGGCTCTTTAGGAGTTTCAGGCTCCGCTTCTCTGGTAAGACCTGAAACAAAGTTCAAGAAACAGAATCTTCACTTAAAACCAGCACGATGTCCAGAGACTGACGAGGAAAATAATAAAAAGCATGCCACTTTGGTTATGTGAGTAAGGATTGTCTGGCAGATTCTAAAAGTTCTCTTGACCTCCGGCTAACTTTGAGATGCTTCAGAGGAATCCTGAGGCATCTCAGAGAGAAAGAGAAATATTAAATTAACTAGGATTATTTGATGTGTTAAAGTAAATGTTATCAGCCATAATTCTAGTTATTGTAACCAGTTTCTTAATGGATTACTTCGTAATCCGGTGTTCGTCCATACATTTTTAAGTCTCTGTCATTTATAGACAGTAATTGTTGGACTTTGATGCTTTGGAAGAAGTGCTTCATCTTCAAAAAGATTCACAGGAAAGATTTTTTGACAAGTACTGGTTTCTGACACATTTCAGACTGCACCAGTGAACTGGGGAAATTTTAAAATCCTAATGGAAAATCTGACAGCTTCATGAAACTGTTAACAAAAAGGATTAGTTACTGAGTGAAACGGTGAATGCTTATGGTTTCTGTCTGGACTATTACTGGTTTTGATCCGTGCTTTCCAGATATACGGAGGCTCTCCCCCACAAGTTACTCATGGCTCACAGCAATTTGGTAAAAATTACACCTCTGTAGGTAGAATTGAAATATTTTTCTTTCTCTCTGCCTGGTCCCTCCAGAAACTGGAGACTTGGGTTCCGAGCAGCCTTACCAGGTGAATGGGAAAGACTGTCTCCTGCCATGTACAGGAATTTGGATGTTTTGGGGATCTCTAGAAGAGGGAAAGCCGCGGAGGCGGAATCCGATGGCAGGCCTCTGGCATGGTTTTCCTGGCCCTGAGAGGCCTTTTGGGGATTCAGCCTGAGATTCCTTAGGAATTCTACCACAGTCAGTTTGGAGGAGCCTATGTGGTCAATTGACCTGACTTACTTTTGCAAACAAATTAGTCTTGATGGTGGCGATGAGGGTAATTTCAGAGAGAAAAATATGATGCTTCAGTGGATATTAAGCTCTAGTTTCTTAATTAGGTCTGTATTTATGGAAGTCACTGTGTTAGTCACACTTCTGCCCTGCTGCCCAGGAGGACAAGAGAATTATCTCAGAGGGTTATCACAGGGCGTAACTGCTCATGACGTGTCACTGCTCGCTTTAAGTCTCATAAAGGCTCACATACAAAGCTTGTGTAAGTGATACAGTACCTGGTAAAATTCAATTCCTTGATCTGTTATGAAGACAATTTCAGTAGAACTGGTCCAGCAGAATCCTAGTATGTTAGCATTTTTGGTCTGAAAAGAATTATAGAAAGATTTTTTTTATTAATTAAAAAAAAGTTTAATTTTCTTCAAAAGCTTGAAATATCCTGATGTTTTTAACCACTCTTTAATGTTACTCATATTTGATTACTTATGAACAAATGCGTGTTCCCAGATTTTCACCTGTAGCACCTCACTGAGCACCTGAATCTGAAGCCCTTCTCGTCAGCAGCACAGAAGGAAAAGCCTGAGTTCTGCAGAAAGGGAACCGCCCAGCAGTTATCATCCTCTGCCTCTAGGAATCAGAGGACGCTAGCACTCTCTGAGTCAAACATAACAGAGGAGCTGGCGTTGTAAGTACAAAGATTCTCCATGAGTGTTGCCCAAGTGGGCTGGGGGCCCAGACCAACACCCCGTGTTTTGGGTGAACAGCAGAGCTGGGAGCCTGGGGGCAGCTGGGCCACGAGGAGCACCTGGAGGTCCACCAGGGACACAGGTGTCTGGCGGACGGGCCTCTCCTTGTCATGGGGCCCACATGGAGCCCCAAGCAGCAAAACCATCGCAGATGGAAAAGGCCCTACCCCACTGGGGCCAGCTGCTACTTGTTTCCCGGTGCCACGATGCCGCTCTGAGCCGAGCCCCCCAGCCTCATTCATCAGGCCTGGCAAATCTAACTAAAGTGGATTAGAACCTACACTGCGGGAAAGAAGGGAAGAGAGAAACAGAGACGGAAGGAAAGGAACGAGCAGCACAAGTCAAGGAAAGAAAACGTTATCAGGAAACAGAAAAATCTCTTCCAAAACCTCCGAAGAGGCTGCTGTGAAGGGAACCCAGGGTCTGACCCAGACTCGCCAGCCCCGCGGGAGGGGCAGGGGTGACCGGAAGACAACAGCCACCACGTGCTGACATGGCTCAGGGCCCGGCGTTTAACCTTCCTCATCCATTTAATCCTTCCAGCTCCACCTTACAGATAGAGAAACAGGCCTTCACAACTGTGAGACGTGTCCCAGTCCCAGCCACAGCGAGGCCGATCCCGGCACTCAGACACAACCTGCTTCTAGCTCGTGCTTTCAGTTACCAGCTCCCCTGTGCCTGGACGTCACCCACGTGGGTAACACGTCCCCGCTGGGGAAGGATGGGGCCCATACCTTGCACTCCTGCGTGTACTCCAGCTGAGAGCTATCTGGGATGAAATTAGAAAAATCCTGAAAGAAAAACACACACACAAGGAGAAATTAGGATTGGGCAGCACCCTGCCAACCTCCTTCGGTACACAATGAGACCAAAAAAAAAATTTAAAAAGTGATCATCCTCAGTATCTCCTCTGAAAATAAACCTAATTACCTCCCCTAGCCAAAAAAAAAAAAATTATTTTTTTTTTAAAAAGTGATCAAAAAAGCCCCAACCTGACAAAAACCAAAGACAGGAAAAATAAAAACATTAATTTGGACAATCTGCCCCTCTAACAGCAACAGGTTGACAATTCAATTTTTTAAAATAAGTTAATCCAAATACTGTTAGGGTTTAGAAAAGTCATTCCTCCAACAGCTGATTTCAGAGAAATGGGTTGCTATATGTTACAAGAGGCTTTCCAAACATTTTAGCAATTAACACTGACAGGAGGAGATAGGATTCTGCCTTCTTCCCAACAGCTTTTTCTCTACTTTACAAATGGTGAATAATTATGAAGGCTAAAACGCCAACGAGCTGCTCCAGCCTGGAATATCTGCTCCTATTAGGTCAAGAACTGAAAGGTGAGAGAAGAGAACAGACCGAGTTACTGGGGCAAGGGGAGTTCACAAAGTCGCCAAAAATACGCTTCACATAATCTCTGGTCCTAGCTACCGATCAATACAAAAGATGCCTGAGGTGCCAAATTAACTTAAGAAGTTTCTGAAGTCAAACATGACAAACTAAGCCTGTAATTATTTATCCATTCGAATGTCTTTCTCATCTTCAAGAATCCAAAGGCTCAAACACAGTGCAACATAGCCACAGCTTCCAGGACATTAAATTAACAAATGGTTCCTTTAAGACTGGAATTCTGCAATGCGTTCTCTTCCAAAAGTACTTCTAATGTCCCTTTCTTCACACTGTACTTAAAGATAAGTCTTACCACGGTCTTTGAGGTCCTCTGAACAGCCAGGATCTTATTTTCTAAGGAAAACTTAATGCACTTCACTTCTCCTTTGTCCTCCATCCTTTAACAAGAAAGAGCAGGTTATGAGTTACACTTCATAACTGAATTCCAGCTTCTATCATTTCGGGAGAAGGAAAAAAACAAGTTAAATATTCAGGAAGCAGCAGAAAATCTTAGTTTACAATTAAGTTTCTGATGCTATTAGTAGGACCTCTTTTCAAACAACGAAGTCCAACTGGCAACAGGTAGCTGGAGAGATCGATGGTACTGCAGGTAACAAGTGACGAGAAACTGAGAACACTGCGCGCTCAGCCGAGACTCCTTTTAGACAAAAATAAGCCGGAACCCACACAGTAACCTTCTCCACACACTCCACCTTCTCTCTCCATCGCCCTCACAGCAGTG